ATTTTGCTTTGCTTTGTTTTAAAAGTCCTGGGCATTTCTGTGCAATCTTCTAATATACACATTTATTTACTTAAAATAAATAAACAAAAAAATTCTTTAAAAAGATAGCTCCTAAAAACTCCCTTAAAAGAATCAAATCTTATTGTCCCAGGAAGTCTTTAAAAGAATCCTTCCAAAAAAAATTATTTTTTTTGAAAAAAAGGCAATTTTCCGGTAGCACCTTAGAGACCAACTAAGAACAAACATACCCAGAACAAACTTAGTTGGTCTCTAAGGTGCTACTGGTGCTTGAAATCAACAGGCTTGCTATTTGATAGCCTAAATAACAGATACATTTCTGCAAAGCATATTTCCCCCTAGATTTATATTTCCCTAAAATAATTCATGTTTGTATGTTATTTTTACTCACGTTTGCACATTTTACTGCACTTTACCACCCAAAAGTGTGCCGAACAGCACCTGCATATTTGTTGGCTTGTGTCAGGGCCCAGCCCAGTTCTGTTCCAAACCATCAGGGAGCCCAGAGTTCAAGGGAAGCGGGCTGTCGAGATGAAGTCAAAGTTCCAGAGATCAGGATCCAATGGCCAGAGACAGGGGCATCCACAACATAAGGTCCAGTTTCAGAGAAGCCGGATCTGGATCAGAGGTCTCAGAGGCAGGAGCATTGTGAAGGTCAAGCAGCACGTGAGATCTTAGGCAATAGTACCAGGGCAGAAGGTCAGCAACATCAGCGAGTGGAAGGTCAAAATCAGGTGGGAGTCGTGATCCTAAGAAAATGGCAGGAAATGGGGAGCTGTCGGAGCAACTCTCAAGCCAGAACTTTGTAGGACTTGCTGAAAGCAGATAGACCTGTGAGGTTGAGCCGACAATGTTTAGGTACGTAGGTGGTGCCCATGAACAACAAAGCTTAGTGCCACAAGAAGAAACTCTGGTGATAGTTGCACTGGTCTTCTTCTTCTTTGGTGATCACTCATAGCCGAGTAAGATTGTCTTCTATAAAGACAGTTTTAACAATGAGTCCGTAAGTGACTGTGGAGGCCGATTCTGGATCCACACGTCCTTCCACAGTGGGGACATTGGTTTCCGGGCGGGAGTTGATCACGGTGGTAGCGTGGGTAGGGCTGGTAGCGCTGGAGATTATGTCCTCGTGCCTGCCTGCTTTGAGCCCCTTTCCTGTGCCTTGGAGCTGGACAGCTGCATCTGTAGGCTATTTCCCCACCGACACAGGAGACATCGATGCAATTCTCTCTGGTCCCAGAGATTAGCTCCATCTCCCCTCCTTCCACTTCAATCACCATACGGGCATTCTTCTTCACATCCTCCGGTTCCTGGCAGAACCTGTGCAAGGCAATATTAAGGCTCTTCCGGACATCAGGAGGCGTCCCTTCTAGGGATCTCACTGTTCTACGGATCTTTTCCAAATTCTTGGCATTCAGGTGTTCCTTGTGGAGTGGTAGTCGTTCCCGGTACATTTCCCAGGTCTTCGGTTCAACCTCATAATGAGGTTCCCCCTTGTCAAAACACACCGATATCTCACATTGCCCCAACCCAGAGATGAACGCCAGTTGAACTTTGCGTTTCCTAATGATCAACCGGGCATTTTCCTGCACTAATAAGGGTTCCTTGGAAACTCCTTCAGGGCTAGCTTGAGACATCTTCTCAAATCTTCTCCCATCTCCCATTTCTCCAAACTTTCCTTCACTCCCTGGAGACTTGCCACATTCAGTGGCTGGGGCCTGCAACATACTCTTGACAGATAAACGTCCCCTGAGAGCTCAGAGGCATTGTACTGGAGTTCTCCGCTAGCGTCATCTATGCAGATGAGACATTTCTGATTCCCACAGGAGAATTTCAACTCGACCCCATCACTCTTGATCAACAAAGTGGCATTCTCCTTCACGCACGTAGGCTCCTGCTTGAAATTCCTCAGCGCCATGTCCAAGCACGCGACCAGATTCCTTGTGTCTGGCTCATAACCTTGCAACTGTTTCTGCACAGATCTCAGAGACTCCATGCTCAGTGGGTGAGTTACTCGCTGGATCTGATAGCAGAGATATTTAAACCACAGTTTTTCTCCCACACGAAGCCAATCCATCTCTTTAAGCCAATCCATCTCTTTAAGAAAAGGAGCCTACTTTCCTTTAAGAATGCCCTCAAATTACCAGTCAGTCGCCTGTTGAGGGTATCTTTGATGGATCTCCGGCTGATTCAGGAGGATTGCTGATCGCCAGCTCAGCTGAAGCAGGTATGAACTGTTGGAGGACGTGGCAAAGGAACATGACTCTTGTTTTGCATGTTACTGTGGTGATCTGTATTTAGCTTTCCCACAGGTGTTAACAATAGAAAGCAAATGGAATGGAACTTAAATTTCAATGCGTGGGAACTTCCCCCAAAACAAACAAGACTAGAATGTGACAGAAGTCTGCCCTATTTGAGTCTACATACAGTTCCTTCACTGTTGTTTACAAAGTACAGTGGTTTGTAAACTGAATACAGTGGTACCTCTGGTTACAAACTTAATTTGTTCCGGAGGTTCGTTCTTAAGCCGAAACTGCTCATAACCGCTCATTAGCTTTCGCTAATGGCGCCTCCCACTGCTGCCATGCTGCCGGTGTGCGACTTCCACTCGCATCCCGGGGCATAATTTGCAACTGGGAGCATCTACTTCCGGGTTAACGGAACTCGTAACCCGAAGTGTTTGCAAGGAGGACGGTACATAACACAAGTTTCCACTGTAGTTCGTAAAGAGGGCTGTTCTTAAACCGAGGTACATGAACCATGAGAAGGGTGAGCCAGAGTCCCATCCACCTGCCCTGTTGTCAGACCAGGAAGATGTGAATAAGCAGCTACATTTTGTATGATAAAAATACCAGTTGTTCCTCGGATGAAATGTGAACCGGTCCCTTGGAATTGGGTGAAACGAGAGACAAAATTCAGCAGTAAGAGCTCAAGCTGATGAAGCCCTGCTGCGGTCACTCCAACACCCATGGGTGGTCACTTCATTTGTGGGTGCAGCACCCACCTTCTGGAATGCTCTCTCTCAGATAATTCATGAGATGGAGACAGTAGAGATTTCCAAACATCCCGTAAAAACTTAAATGTTTACCCAGGTTTTGATAGATTCTGGCTCCTAATTGTTTTTAAATTTTCTGTTCTGTACACTTCTCAGTTTTATATTGTAGCAGGAACCCCCCACCCCCACCCCAATCATTCTGTTTACACACACACACACACACACTCACACACTACACACGCCACATTTCTGTTATAAATTCATAGAAAATCAACCATACATCGGATTTGCACTGTTCCATTTTATTTTACTCCATATGACAAGAACTATCAAAGGGGGGTGGCTTTGTCCTGGTCAGCCATAATCCCTTCATTGTCTCAGCACATCCACAGGAGCCCTGCCCAGTTGCTATGTCAACCCTGATAATCCCAGACAGAAGACAATCAAAATCACAAAGAACTTGCATATGGTAGTGGATTCAGCATGGACTGAAACAAAGGACAATAATCAGATCTTCCCTCTGGGGCAGGAAACTGCAAACTCCCCTTTGTCTCCTGGAAGTGACTCATGGGCAGGGGGAAAGGAGGAACCAGCCAGGTGACAGGACACTCAGGTTACCCACCACAACCCCTCCCTCAACCCCTCCTTTCTGTAATGTATGCATGATGTCAACCCCTTCTGTAATGTATGCATGATGTCAAACCCCTCCTTTCTGTAATGTATACATGATGCTTCTGGGGGTGGGCTTGACCTGGAGGATGGGAATTTCAAAAGTTTTTTATAAGGTCTTGCAGACCATCTTTCTGGGTCTTTCCTCTCTCTTGCAAGTGAGGGGAACACCCTGTTGCAACAGTTCAATAAGGCCAAGCCTACAGGCTGCTGTTTTGCTCCAAGTTATCCTGGTTGGTGTCTTTGTTTTGTCCAAGGGGAGCCCTCGGATTTTTCCGGTAACAATATGATGTATAGTTTACTTTTGTTTTAAAGAAATGTTATTTGAAATATTGTTGTATCATTGTCACTTTTGTTTATTTTGGAAATGTTTGGAAACCAGTTCAGGTTTTTTTTTTTTTAAAAAAAACTAAGCTGTGGTACAAGAATAGTATAAATGGTTTTCAATAAAACACAGGTAAAATCTGCAAAAGTTTAAAGGCAAGTGTACACAATTAAAGAAGTGTCTCTGTGGGTTTACTGAAATAAATATTTTCATGCAATAATAATAATAAAAAGAGCTCAAGCTCCCACTAGGGTTGGAAAACCTCAGGGCAGGAGCCAAATGATGCAGGCCCCTCAAAATGGCCGTCAGGATACAGGCCTCACTGGTCCCTTGCATGCACTTCTGACTAAAATCTGTCCTTGGACAGGGATAATTTCTCTTGCTTGTATGGATGGAGAACATAGCAGGAACTCTGCTCACTTTTGCTACTGGTCTATCTATCCGCAGCGCAAGTTATTTCAAATGTTCCCCATAAGGCATGGGTAGGGAACTCATCTGTCAATCGTGTCATTTCATAGTGATATTATGTGATTGTCCCAACCATCCGCCAAAGTTCACCCATGGGTGGGGCCAATATTTTTCAAACTCCAGACACAATGCAGCATCTGGGCTGCAAAAGGCTCCCCACCTCTGCCTCACATCAACATGGGTCATGTTGGGAAATGTTAAATCTGAAGCCAGTCATTTCAAACATAGAGGAATTGTTTTGATTTTTATCTCACTTAAAAGCACATATTTTCAGAAGAGCCCTGCTGGTTCAGACCACAGCTCCCACTTCCTGGATCAATGGAGCCCTTGTTTATTTCATATATTAAAGACTCAAATAAAGCAACAGCAGTTTAAGACTAATAATATAAGAGCAGACATGAGCACCTTGTCCTCCACTGGTTCAGACTAGAGCTACTTAACTGTGGTTCTGCAAATCCCCTTGTTGCAAGCCAAAAATGGCTTATCTTCTGAGTTTAGGCCAATATAACTCAGAGACAAGAGGAGTTAAGAGTCCATTGTTGTTTATTGCAAAGCAATAGGTTACAGTCAAATCTTTTCGCAAAACTGCAATCCTGCCCAAGGGTCAGGGCGATGGTATTTATAACATTTCAAACAAAGGATTTCAATTTTCACCAATCATGTACATCATTACCTCGTTTCATGTTTAATACACATGCGCAATAAGCATTGCTAACTAAACTTTGATTCTCACCGTGCTCTGTTACATTGTGTTAGTATGCAAGTTGGGAACCTGTGTTACGTGCAGCCATTTGCACCGTGTATCAACTTGCGTTCTAACTTATGAGCTGTATTTTCGTGATTCATGTATTAGCTGCCCTTCTGCCCCAGTGGGGGGGCGGCATCTTGCAAAATCATCAGTTTCTTAAAGCAACAGGTTACCATAACTTCTCTATTAGAATTATATTGAAGGATTTATAGGGGTTCACATTATCACATTCATTATGGCCCTTTGGGCCACTACCACACCCTGAGCAGCTTGGACATTAAGCGATAAATGGCACGCACATATGCAGTAAGCGGGATTGCTTTTATTTATTTACAAGGTTTCTTACACACCTTTCGACATCAGGTCCTAGAGTGAGTGACAACTACTAAACAATTATAAAAAGAATTAGAACAACTACTTGAAACACATAAAACAACCCAGCTCTTTAGATAATTAAGGGGGCATTTAAATGCCCCCATATCAAGTCTCTATTTGTGTATTTGCAGACAATTCCTTTTTAATCATGCTTCTATTTTGTGTGCTTCTTTTCCAAATAAAATATAGCTATGGGGTTGTGATCCGAAGCACGCTGCCAATCTGGATCAGGGCCTAGTGCCTGTTCCTTGATGAAAAGCCCCCCCCCCCTTCAGCTACTACTTCCCCCTGAAGCTGTGTCTGAATGGCAGTTTTCATGTGTTTTGTTTCCCACAACAGAGCGCTATTTGGAGGGGAAAGCCTGCAGGGCCCATTCAGACTTGACAGCAATGACACTACATGATAGAGTCAGACTGTTACTAATTCCCTTTAAAGAAGTTGGCAGTTTGGGGCGGGGACTTAATATCCTGAGCCCTTTCCACACCACACATACCCGCCCCCCCCAAAAAAGTTCTTTTCCCAGACGTTTGAGGGAGGAAAGTATGGGGGGGGGGGAGAGGATTCAGTTCCTTCTTCCTGACCGCCATGCTGTTTTTAAACTTCCCCACCCATCCCTGGTTTTAAAGGACTTGGCACCTCCCGCTGGCCTGTCAAGTTTGCACCAAATGGCAACCTCATCTCATTTTCCCACACAGACAAAGGAGCAGATTTTCTCCCCAGAGAACAAAGCACGGAAGGTAAAGAGAACATTATTTGAGTCAGCATCACGGAAGAGTATTACTTCTGCTTCATAGTTCACAAGCACACGGATCCTCTTTGGCCGAATCCCATATGTTCTGGACTCAAGGGGTTGTGTGCTGGCCGAGGGTGATGGTCCCAGAGATATTCCAGGAGAAGTGGAAGCATAATATGCACCAGTAGAAATCCTCCCAATAGCCCAGATCCCAATCTCATCATTCAAATTGACAATATTGTGACCCCTTAAAGACTCCTTGACAACCCCCACAGCCCAGAAGTTCTCGTTCCCCACGTCCACTATCCAGGAATGGATCCCTGAGCTGATTCTCTCAACTCCCATAACATAGGAACAACAATTAATGTTCTTATTTGAGAATACGGGGTTAACAAATGATTGGTGCAACGGGGTCAACGAATGATTGGTTGTTGAGAATCCGAATTCAAACAAAGGTGGCTTCATATATATGTCTCGGGTTTGTGCTTGGCCATACGCTTCTAGGACTAGTTTAGGAATTGCCATTTCTTCACCTACAAGAGAAAGGAAACGATTAGGGAGGGAGCGCCCCAAACCTGCATCCAAGTTTTGTGCAGCTCTGAGTTAGGAGGAGGTTTGAAAAGCCAGTGTACTAATGGGGTGGGGGGTGGGAAATCGCTCCCCCATGCAGGTCAGTTCAGAAACTCAGGGAACGCCCCTTGAGGGCAAGGATGCTAGCTCAGAGGTAGGCTTGCTTGCAAAGGTCCCTGGTTCAAATCCTGTAGGGTGAGTTCCCTGGATAAAACCCTGGAGAGCTGTTGCCAGTCATTGTTGGCAATATGAAGCTAGATGGGCCGATGGCTTGGCTCTGCAGAAAAGCTGCTTCCTGTGCTCCGCCCTTCTCCCAATCTCACATGTAAAACCCAAAACAAAGAACCCTACCCATCCTGGAAATGTACTTTCTTTTCTGGAGGTCCAGACAGCTGAAGTAACGCTGCCCAATCTGGAACCATATGTTTTACTTGAGGTCCAGGGAGCACAACGCTTAAGGAACAAAACCGATATGAGGAAGAAGTTGAGACTCACACTTAGCTCCTAGGTAATGCTTTAGATTAGGAGTGCTTGGAAGTGTGTTCACGCCAATATTTAAAATGTAGTCATCGTATAGGACCATTTGAGCTCTTCCATGTTGCTGTAATGCGCTTGGGACTCGTGCGTTGAGGAGCACATTTCCCACGACTGGATGCCCTGAGATAAGGGAGCCGGGTGCACTGGGTTGCCATAGCAACACCAGCAGGTCGAGTGTGCGACTTGTGGAGTCATTCACCCTCCCACTGGTCCAGGAAATATGCCCACATGTAGAGACAGGAATAGTAGCCTCTGGGGCATTGCTTTCATCCTGTCTGTCTTGTCTGTGCCCTGTCCCATTTGCTGTCAGGGTCTGACTCTGTGAGACTCAGGGAAAGTGGCTGTGGGTTTTGCACAGAAGCATTAGCTTGCACGGTGATCAGTGTCAATGGATCTGCTCATACGTATCTTTACTTCAAAGACGATGAAGGACTGGTTTTGTGTCTGGTGACATTAAACACTTGGTTACTTTGAACTGCGTGTGAGGAGTTTCCCCCTTAACAGATCTTGTTCAATTGGGAGCAGGAAATCTCTGATGACTCTGCTTGCTGTGCTCATAACACACACCAGTTGAGGTGTGGTGAACTCCCAGCTGACTTCAGCAAGCCACAGCATTCCAGCATTCCCATTACATTTTATGAAAACATTGGGACGGGGGGAGTGTTTCAGAAAAATCAATGCCAAATAATGAAGATTACTCAGAATTTTAAATAGAGAAATAGAAAAAAAAAGAACACTCAAATGTCAAGCTTCAGTTACTCTTGTTTGCTTCCCAGGCCTCCAGTTCTGAGAGAGTTAGAAGACAAAACCAGAGTTTTGAGGTAGAGCAGAGTTTAGGGATGTGACAGGCTGTAAAAGGCAGCAAGACAGAAAGATATTCAGAGCACGAGGGTTGATTCCTGTTTTGAATGCAAGGCTGTGGCAGTGGGAGAAACAAGACTCTCTTGGGGTGTCCATGCTGTGAACCCCTCCATCGTAGGCTCAGATTCTATATATGTGGGAATAAACCATATATCCTAAAGACACCATAGTCTCTGCTGTCTCTCATTTCCCAAAAGGAAATACGAACCCAGGGGAGGAAGCTTGGGACCCCAGCAATCTTGTGCTGCTGGGAGATTGAAGTGCAAAACCCTCCCATTTCTCATCTGCAAAAACTGTTTAAAGATCTGCCAAACCTGGAAATGTACCTTTCTTTCCTTGAGGTCCAGAGAGCACAACGTCTGAGGAAAAAAGTGAAATGGGGAAAAAGTCAATATTCGTACTTGGCTCCAAGGGCATTGCTTCAGAGTTAGAATGTTTGCAAGAGTGTTCAGGCGTAAATCTAAAATTTAGCCATAGCACTCCATCTTTCTCCCTCTTCCAGCATTAGCATTAAGTGTTATGAAAGCATGTTTGGGGCGGGGGGCACAGAGAAGAGTTGCCTCCCCCAGCTCTGAGAGAGTTAGAAGACAAAACCAGAGTTCTGGAGTAGAGTTTAGGGATGTGACAGGCTGTAAAAGGCAGCAAGACAGAAAGAGAATCAGAGCACGGTGGTGGGTTCCTGTTTTGAATGCAAGGCTGGGGCTATGGGAGAAACAAGACTCTCTTGGGGTGCCTGCGAACCCCTCCATCATAGGCTCAGATTGCATATATGTGTAAATATACCATATATCCTAAAGACACCACAGTCTCTGCTGTGCCTCATTTGCCAATAGGAAACTCGAACCCTGGAGAAGCAGCCTGGGACCCCTGGAATATTCACCGTTTGGAAATTGGCATGGCATGCAACTCTATCTATCTATCATCTATCTATCTATCTATCTATCTATCTATCTATCTATCTATCTATCTAATCTGTCCCACATCTAAAACATCATACAATGACCCTTGTTACCTTTGAATTTCTTGGTCTCCTTCTCCAAAAAAGGATGTATTTTGGAGAAATAATCTATTTGCTGTTTTAATCCACGAGGAAATGCTATTGCATTGATGGTTTTATTCTTATTTTCATTACATCTAGGAAGAAGAAAGTGAGGTTTATTGTGATCCATCTGGTCATTCTGAAGTCATTCTTAATTCAGTCGTCAGAATGAAGGAGACAAGTGGGAACAGCAGGAAGATACCAAGGGCTCGTCCATGACAGGTTTTTCTTTCATTCCCATTTTCCCCACGAAAGTCCCCACTGTTTACTACTGAATCGGAACAAAGGTCAGTTGGGTTTTCTGTGGATTTACAGCTGAATAGAAGGAAACATTTATCAGGTTTTCTGCTGATTTATGTTTCTCCCTATACAGTGATAAGCAGCAGGTTTTCCCAGGAAAAGCGGAGGGACAAAAGAAAAGCCTCTCGGACCTGAGCCTAGAAATCACAGGAAAAGCGGACTTGTGGATGAGCCCTGTGATAGCAACTAATGGTATTGTCTGCCCTGTGACCATTACAAAGACCTATGACAAACTGGGCAATGAAGTATAAGGGGGGGGAGTATGAAGTGTAAATTTACATACACATTTTTTCATTTAAAAATTACATATAAATGATCAATCCGTAATCTATTTTGCCTCTTCTTTTAAAATAAACTTTACTGTGAAGATGCCGAAATATTTTCAAACTATCTGTCTGAAATTTTGACGCACACGTTGCATACCGTACCATGTTTAAAATTACAGCTAGGTCAGAAGTGCCTGATTACCGTAACTTGTGACAAAGTTGTGATTTGTCGTTGCTTCTTCCTGATCAGAACAGGGTATAAATTGGCACAACTTGGTTGAGGATCCAGGTGAATCTGGAGCACAACCTTACTGAATATTTTCTCCAACAAATTATGTTTCCACATAATGCACACACTAACTAATAAGAGCCTCTCTTTACCCTGGCCTTTGTCATCTAGGAGATGTATTTTAGCACTCACCCAGTTTTCTTGGATTGTAATTTGTTTTAACTATTTTTAATATTGTATTTTAATTCACAAGCTGCCCTGGAACCAGACAGTGGAGAGCAAGTAAGAAATCTAATAATCCACCACCATCACCAACAACTCTGCTATGATATGAAGTATACAGTAGATGAAGAAATATCATCACTCCTTCCTAAAATATGCATTTTATATACAGTGGTACCTCGGGTTAAGAACTTTGCTTCAGGATGAGAACAGAAATTGTGCTCCAGTGGCGCGGCAGCAGCAGGAGGCCCCATTAACTAAAGTGGTGCTTCAGGTTAAGAACAGTTTCAGGTTAAGAACGGACCTCCGGAACAAATTAAGTACTTAACCTGAGGTACCACTGTACATTCTCCCCCCAAAATCCTATCCGTTTTGTATGTTCTTCTATGCATCCCCCAATGTGCTTTCTGTACATTTCCCTGCATGAGATACACAGTTTTGGGGGGATTTTTTAAACGAAAACATGAATCACAAAATTTGTAAAAGTATGCAATCAGATTGGTAACTGTTTTCTGATCTGCTTATTAGTCTGTAAACTGTGAATTAGATTAGTTCACATAAAAGTATAGACCAAATAAAATTTTCCCTTACCTCAGAGGAAGGAAATTAATATTATTCATTTTCATATTCATAACAAAGCCACATACCTTTCCAGGATGCTTCTCATATTCTAGATGGAAGAGACAGAATGAGAGAAATTCAGTCCCTTGCACCAGTTGCCTCCAACAGTTTATGAGTTTCCCCTTTGCTTTATATATCAACCAAATACTGAAGTGCACACGCCTACTGTAAATACCGTATTTTTTGCTCTATAAGACTCACTTTTTCCCTCCTAAAAAGTAAGGGGAAATGTGTGTGCGTCTTATGGTGCGAATGCAGGCTGCGCAGCTATCCCAGAAGCCAGAACAGCAAGAGGGATTGCTGCTTTCATTGCACAGTGATCCCTCTTGCTGTTCTGGCTTCTGGGATTCAGAATATTTTTTTTCTTGTTTTCCTCCTCCAAAAACTAGGTGCGTCTTGTGGTCTGGTGCGTCTAGAGCGAAAAATACCGTACTTCTATAGATCAATGAACAGAGTGTGTGGTGGTACAGCCCTTCCCCAGAGGACAACCTGGACGGTTTTGTTCCACCATTGCTTACCTGCAAGAATTCAGTCACTGGCTGCTTCTGTTTCTCCTCCAGCTGCCTGATTAGGTTGTCAAGGGAGGCCATTTCCTCACAGAGTTTGGCAATATATTGATTCCTACAGTTTTTAATCTCATCGTCCAGTTCCTTCAATTGAGCCAGCAGGAGGTGCTCTTGTTCTTCCAGAAACTGGTGCAATTGCTTGAAATCGGACATGATTTCCTGCCTCTCCATGTCTGTCTGCTTCTGCAAGGAGAGAGTCATGGCCAGACAAAGACATTTAGATGTTCCCTTAATTCCATGTGCACAAGTTGATTGGCAGGGCAGTTGATGTTTACTTCAACACTCACAAAGGTATAGAACATCAATCACAGCCGAGGGCAGCAGGCAGGCTAAATTAGCAGGACACAGCCTCTTTGCTTGGCTCAGTCCTTAGTATTTTCCTGCTGCTCACCTACCGATCTATTAAGCTGCTGCTGCTCTCTATTCCCTGGCATCTTCAGCCTGGCTTGGCCACCTCACTCTGCCTAATAGTAGGGCCGTGAGGAAGTGACGAGAAGGAGGAAGACTGGCTTTGTGGGGTTCATTCTTAAAGGATTAATGCTGGCATGGCTGGACATTTATGGACTCAAGGACTGCATTCGCCCTTAGACAACCCTACCAGTTTTAGCCTGTCCTGCTGAATGTTGCCTAACCTTGCAGGCAGCTGCTCTTCAAGGTCTGAAGCAGAGACATTTCCCAACTCTACCACCCGATATCCATTTAATTGATAATGCCAATGATCAAACCTGGGACACTGTGCAAGCGAAGAATTAAGGCCTCCCTCTGTCAAGAATAACCATCCTGGAGAGGCAAGAAGGTTTGCACCTACCAGCAGATTCTGGCTTTCAGTCTCCCCCTTCAGTTTAGAAGACAGAATTTTTTCTCTCTGTTTGTTCAGGAACTCCAAATGACGCAGGATTTTACCCTGGGGTGGCCAAAAAGGCATTTGGGTTAGTTTTGGCAGCAAAGATATAAACTGTAACAGGCATGTCTGTTCAAGAAACCAAGAACATGAAAGTTGAAAAGAGTCTACGTGCAGCTTCTAGGAAACTTCCGTTCTCAATGTGGAATTAGATTCAGCCACCAGCCGAAGCTCCTGACAACCTTTCCACCGGGCAGCCCTCCTAGACTATTTTGGGGGGACTATAGTATTGGAAGACACAAGATTTACCCACTTTGGAAGAATGGCAGATGAAGGTGATTGACTACATGGAATTGGCAGAAATGACTGGCAGAATCCGAGACCAGGGAGAAGAGTCGGTGGAAGAAGATTGGAAGAAATTTAAAGACTATTTGCAGAAATATTGTAAAATTAATGAATGTTAGAATGATGTTGGATAGAAATTAAGTGGTTTCCAGCTGTGATGCTTTAAGAGAATATGAAAAAAGGCTTATAAATGGGTAAAAGCTTAATGGCAAGGATTTGCTGAACTAATAAATCTAAGTGGAATACAAAAAAGGGAGGTATGAGGAGGTCCGGGGAAATAAGCTTAAGGAAAATAAGTAATGGAAAATCAATGTGTTTTTAACTGTTTTTATTTTGTATTTTTCTTTTTCTTTTTCCATTTTTACTGTAATAATTTAAAAGATCTTAATAAATATCTTATTAAAAAAAATATTTTGGGGGGGACTATCCTGAGCAAAAAATGGCGGGCATAACATCCGTTTCCCAACATAAATTCTGAGACTAGAGAAAAAGAGAAACTGCTGGGACCTGAGGAACACCACATGCTTCCACAAGCCTGGCTCATACAGAGTCAGACTGTTTTCTATACCGACAGAAAGTTGCTTTGGGGCAAAAGCTGTCCCCAGCCCTACACATTAATGCTAAGGAATTAACCTGGGACCTTCTTCAGTCAACGCATGGGCTCTACTGTTGAGCTATGGCCCTCAGATCAGCCTTCCAGCATTTCCCTGCCCTGGTAGTTCTCTGGGCTCCTGGGGGAGGAAAAGGTGGAAGATGGTTAAAATGAGCATTTTCCAAGTTCCCTTGGAACTTCTTGCGAATGTTCCTACTACTGAATGCTCAGTAGAAGATAGGAGCTGCAGGCCTCACTATCTGGCCTCTCCCCAGGCTGCAACATTCCCCAGCTCCAGTTCACATCCTCCTCGAGTCTTTTTTGCCTGGCTAGAATGTGTCCCTGAACTCCACTAATGCTTCCCACTTACTTAGTTGGCAGACAGAGACGGCAATGAGAGCGTTTGTAGGAACTAGTCTACTGTAAAAAGGTTAGATTTGCAAGTGTTGCTCTGTCCCCTTTTGCCTTGGGCCCCAATAAGCAGCAGCATTTGGGACACAAACACCCACCCACACGCCCCACAGAAAAATGGGGCCCTCAGGCTGAAATATTTTCCCCATCCCTAGGATAACTGAGCATCCCGTGGAAGTCTGGTCCCCAATCCTACATCTCCCTACCTGATACTCCTCAAAGGCCTCCTCCTTTGGGATCACCTTGTGGTCCCTGTGCTCCTTGGATTTGTCGCACACCACACAGATGGGGGCTTGGTCGTCTTCGCAGAAGAGCTTCAGGGGCTCCTGGTGTCTCTTGCAAACCCTTCCCAGCACTTCCACCCCTTTGGCCGCCTGAAGGCTGAATTTCTTGACTATTTCCACAATGCTGGCCAGTTGCCGGTTGGGCCTGAAATTCCTTTGCTGATGAGGTTCCCTGCACTGAGGGCAAGAAGCTTCTTGGTCCGATTTCCCCCAAGCCTCGGTGATGCAGCTTTGGCAGAAATTGTGGCCGCAGTCTATGATCACTGGATCTGTGAAATACTCCAGGCAGATGGAGCATGTTGTTTCCTCGCAGAGGTTCTGGACTGGACCCTCGTCTGCCATTTCGTCTGCCTGAAATGAGAACAAAGGCTTTAGTTTCCTTTCTCCAGTTTCAAGTTACAGGGCGGGCCTTTCCCTCCCTCTGGGTGACTCATAGTTTTTGAAAAGAAACAGCATAAGCCGGGGGAAAACCGTTACAGTGTGCAGCTTCACATCCGTACCATGAATTCGAAGTGCATGGTGTCTGCCAAAGAATCCTGGCAATGGCCATTCACCCCAAAAAGCTACACTTCCCAGCACCCTTAACTAACTACAATCCCCAGGAAAATTTGAGGGAGAGCTGTGTGGCCATCAAGAGGCTAATAAAAGGTCTAATACTAATTGACTGGAGCAGGAAGAGGAAGGAAGTAAAGACTGAGAAAAACAATTGTTTACTTGAGAAGGAATTAGTGAGGGAAGAATTGGTTTCCTGTCTCCCACCCCCAGTTCTCATACAGTTTCTTCTTGCAAACGCTGTTGCTCCAGCCCCAAATGTTAACAGGATTTGGGGACACCTAACTTTGACTTTTGAATTACCACAGTCTGGGACACTGTAGCTGATATGATTAGGCTTTTAGATCAAAATAAAATTTGAGTAAATAAGCCCAAAGAAAGAAAAGCAAAACCACGTGAGTGTTTACTTAAGTTTATGATTTCATGTGTTTATATTGGGTGTGTTGGCCCTGAACTCCCCATCCTGGTCCAGCGCTGTAACCACTATACCACACTGTCTGTATCTGAAGGAGCATCCAATCCAAGTTGCATTTAAGGATAAAGAGCCCTGAGAAGGGAGAGCAGTTGGCACTCTGGCGCTGCCCATGGGAACGGTTAGCATCCAGTCAGCATACTGAGCTGGTCTTTGTTCATAATTTAGAGACACACAGACACTCTCTAGCTGCAGCTTCCACAATTGCACTGGGGGCCGGAGTGACTGACAGTTGTATCTTTGCTGAACCAAGGAAATGGCCCCGGAAATATTTTTGACCCTGTTTGGGAAGGTTTAGGGGTGGAGGAAGTGGAGAGGAACCACCTGCATCTCCCAACCAAGGCTGCATCACAAATGGAATGATACCTTTATTCTCCAATGATAAACATTCACTGTTTTATTCGTGTTCAGATGTTCATGGTGTTTCACTATGATGTCTTTATTAATATAAAACTGCAAAAACAAACACACACAAAATACACAAAACAGAAGCATTGCTGAATATCGGATTTCTCTTTCTATGGAAACAACTGCAGACTTTTTCATATATAGAACTCTGAAAACTCCACTGAGTATTAATGAAGGACAGGAAGAATGAAACTGAAACCTTCTTTCTGTGAACCTCATTCCCCAAAACAACAGGAGGCCATGATCCAGATTTCCCCCAGGACAGACAACTTGCATGGGGGCAGGGGGAGAGAGAAAGAAGAAATTGGTGGCTGCAGGGTAGCTTTTTAAAATGTTTTGCCACACATACCATAACATTATCTGTTACAAACTCCCCGTAAAGTGGGAGGAGGGCACTTAGAGTGCTGAACCCTTTCCCCTTTCCCCCACCTACGGGACCGCCTCTCCTGGTATGCCCCGCGGAGGACCTTAATGTCCACAAATGACAACACTTTGGAGGTCCCAGATCGCAAGGTGGTTAGATTGGTCTCAACTAGGGCCAGGGCCTTTTCAGTACTGGCCCCGACTTGGTGGAATGCTCTGTCACAAGAGAATAGGGCCCTGCGGGACTGGACATATTTCCGCAGGGCCTGCAAGACAGAGCTGTTCCGCCTGGCCTTTGGTTTGGACTCAGTCTGACCCTTAAGTTTCCCTCCCCTTATGGTTTTGATCTAAGGGCTACCATTAAAATGAGGCTGCATTTTAAATTGTATTTTAACCCGTATTTTAATAAATTGGTGGTTTTTTTTGTGTGTGTGGTTTTTTTTTTTTGTGTGTGTGTGTGTGTGTGTTTCCCCCCATTATGTTTTTATTGTAATTTTACTGGTGTTAGCTGCTCTGAGCCCAGCTCTGGCCAGGGAGGGCGGGGTATAAATAAAATTATTATTATTATTATTATTATTATTATTATTATTATTATTACACATACAACCTTCCCTACCAAAGGCACTTTTGCCAGACGTTTCCCCCCAATGTAAGAAACCTACAGTGGGGAGTAAACAGCTGGGAGGTTTTCTTGGGGGCCCTTTCACCTGTCTCCCAATACTTTTGTCCTGTACAAATAAGCATGAATTCAACTTGTTGGGACAATATATTATTTAGTTCAAATTTCTTCTTTTGCCTCTTACTATATAATTCATCAGTTGGCTTGTTAATTATCAATGTCCATGAGTCATTTATTTCCTATTTGAGTTTCCCCTCCTTATGTGACGAGTAGGCTATAATTCAACCTCTAATAAAAGCTTTATACGCTTCCCATTCATATATCCTAGCGGTCAATGTGTCAGTATTTATATCAAAGAACTGTTCAGTCTCGGTCTTCATTTGTTTTACAAACTGGTCACCATTAAGTACGGTGTACCTTGGCTTAAGGCGGGGATCCGTTCAGGAGCCAAAAATGATGCACACTGAAGTGCTGCACATGCGCAAAGCACCAAACCTGGAAGTAACCCATTTCAGTACTTCCAGGTTTGGCGTCAACGTTTGGCGGAACGGACTTCCATCAGGGCAGACGCCGGACGAAGTACGACTGTAATGAGTCGTTAAAATACCAGTTTCTTTGTATCTTAGCTGTATTATAATACTTCCAATGCAAGCTAATTGCACTGTGATCAGATACACAACATCAGTCAATCAATAATCTTTATTACAGTCACAGACCAGCATAAGAAAAAGATATGAATAAAATACAGCGGTACCTTGGCTTACATTGGGGATCCGTTCCGGAGCCCCCGCCATAACCCGAAAATGACGCAGGCCAAAGTGTCGTGTCTGCGCATGCGCGTGCGTGATTTAGTGCTTCTGCGCATGCATGAGCAGCAAACCCGGAAGTAACCCGTTCTGGTACTTCCAGGTTTGCCGCCAACGTTCCACGGAACGGACTCAAGCCAGGGCGGACTCAGACCAAGGTATGACTGTAGAAGTTAGGATTTACACAGGTAATTGTTAAAGCAAGTAAGAACAAGAAAACAAGCATAGGATAAACATGTGAATAGAATACAGGTTAAACACAGATATTGGATGGATAAGAACTGATAATGAAAACTTTTAAGAACTAGAAGACATGCAGCTAAAACAGCTATAAGTGGTGGAGCTTAAGGGAATACATGTCTTGCAACATACATCAATATCACAGTCTTGAATTGGATGGACCCTAAACCTAAAACAGGGTCAACCAAATTCAACTCTTGCATGTACTTTTTGAGAGTTTCTCTAACTAATGAAACTTTTTTTCATGGAAGCTTGCTTCTATCCAGGTTAGGATCAATCATTTCATTGAAATCACCTCCTATTACAGTATAAGTTTATTGTATGTACTTTGACTTAGATGAGTAAAACAATGATAAAACATATCTGGGGAATCTACATCTGGCCCATATATATTAATCAACATTATTACCATTTCGGCAATTTTCACATACAAAATTAAATACCATCCATTTTCATCAGTAATAACTTGTCATATATCCACTCGCAATCCTTTTCGTATCAAGATAGCAAGGCCTCTAGCACTGGAAATAGAATTTGCAGTATATACCTTTCCTACCCAATTCTTCATTAACACTTTTTTGTCTTGATTTAACAAATGTGTCTCTTATAAATAACCAATATAAGTATTTAAAGTATTGCAGAATTACTCACTGTTTTTTGGACTCTCTCAGCCCTTTTACATTTAAACTAACTTCCTATTATATTATTAACTTCCTTTTGGCCCCTCTTATCTTGGTTGTAAATCCACTATTCATTGTTACAAGGTTTCTTGTATATGCATGTACAGTGGTACCTCAGGTTACATACGCTTCAGGTTACATACGCTTCAGGTTACACACTCCGCTAACCCAGAAATAGTGCTTCAGGTTAAGAAATTTGCTTCAGGATAAGAACAGAAATTGTGCTCCGGTGGCGCAGCAGCAGCAGGAGGCCCCATTAGCTAAAGTGGTGCTTCAGGTTAAGAACAGTTTCAGGTTAAGAACGGACCTCCGGAACGAATTAAGTACTTAACCTGAGGTACCACTGTATATAAAACCTGCCATTCATATACCTCAAATACTTCTTTCTTATCAGCTTGATTCTGACTTGTTAATATTTTTATTCAAAAAGCGGTGGTGACTTTTGCTGCTTCACTAGTCGATAAACAGGTGGTATAAAACATTCTTTTGTTGTTGGTTTTCACTGCTGACTGTTTACACTCCATTCTATTGGCAGAACAGCCAGACTGGCAAAACAATGTCTTCAACAGTGTATCCTCTTATTAATCAGTTAATGGAGTCATCCAAAGCTTCAGTTCCAGGGTGTCAACCGATTTTAGTGAGGAATGCCTCTGCAAAGTCTGGATGGTTGAGATTGTGAGTTTGACCGGAATACTGAATACAAGACTTTGCCAAGAACTGAATGTAGCATTCCATATTCTTTGCCCTAGCAAGGGCTTTTGCTTTAACAAATTTAGAGCGCGCTTGAATCACATCCTTGGAGAAGTCCAGAAAGAGAAATATCTTCACCAGGGCTTCTATGGATTTTTGGTGGAATTTGTCTTTCTTATCTTGAGGTCAGGAGAACGAAACATCTAAAGAAAAACAGTGATATGAGGAAGAAGTCAATACTCATACGTCCAAGGTAATGCTTTAGATTCAGAGTGCTTGGAAGTGTGTTCACGCCAGAATCTAAAATTTAGCCATCTTATATGATCGTTTGCCCTCTTCTGTGTTGGTGTAATGTGAACAATGGGTGAAATTGCACAGTGCTTGGGCTTGTGCCTTGAGGAGCACATTTCCCACGACTGGATGTTCTGAGATAAGGGTGCCAGGTGCCCTGGGTTGCCATAGCAACACCAGAAAGGTCAAGTGTGCAACTTGTGGAGTCGTTCACCCTCCCATTGGTCCAGGAAATGTGCCTACATGTAGAGACAGGAATAGTAGCCTCTAGGGCATTGCTTTCTTCCTGTCTGTCTTGTCTGTGCCCTGTCCCATTTGCTGTCAGGGTCTACCTCTGTAGGACTCAGGAAAAGAGGCCGTGGGTTTTATACAGAAGCATTAGCTAGCATGGTGATAAGTGTCAATGGATCTGCTCATACGTATCTTTACTTTAAAGACCAGAAGAACTGTGTCTTGTGTCTGGAGACATTAAACACTTGGTTACTTTGAACTGTGTGGGAGGAGTTTCCCCCTTAACTGAGACTCTGGAAGATGCTGTTCGGTTGGGAGAAGGAAATCTCTGACTCCGCTTACTGTGCTCATAACACACACCAGTTGAGGTGTGGTAAACTCCCAACTGACTTCAGCAAGCCACAGCTTTCCAGCATTATCATTACATTTTATGAAAACATTGAGGGGGCCGAGGTTCAGAGAAATCAGTGCCAAGTAATGAAGATTACTCAGAATTCTAAATAGAAAAAATAACCCTCAAATGTTAAGCTTCAACTCCTCTTGCTTGCTTCCCAGTCCTCCAGCTCTGAAATAGTTAAAAGGCAAAGCCAGCGTTTTGAAGTAGAGTTTAGGGATGTGACAGGGTGTAAAAGGCAGCAAGGTGAATCCAAGACTGTGGCAGTGGGAGAAACAAGACTCTCTTGGGGTGTCCATGCTGTGAACCCCTCCATCGTAGACTCAGATTGTAGATATGTGTAAATAAACCATATATCCCAAAGATACCACAGTCTCTGCTGTATCTCATTTCCCAAAAGGAAATACGAAACCTGGGAAAACCGCTTGGGAGCCCTGGAATTTTGTGCTGCTTGGAGATTGAGTTGGGGTACAGTCCTGTCTTCCTTTTTTTGAGGTCCAGAGAGCACAGCACCTAAGGGGGGGGAAAGTCAAATGAGGAAAAAGTCAATACTCATACTTGATTCCAAGGGCAATGCTTTAGATTTAGAATGTTTGCAAGTATGTTCATGCCAAAATCTAAAATTTAGACATAGTACTCCATCTTTTTTGAGAGTCTTTTCTTTTCTTTTCTTGAGAGTCCCATGGACTGCAAGAAAATCAAACCTATCCATTCTGAAGGAAATCAGCCCTGAGTGCTCACTGGAAGGACAGAACCTGAAGCCGAGGCTCCAATACTTTGGCCACCTCATGAGAAGAGAAGACTCCCTGGAAAAGACCCTGATGTTGGGAAAGATGGAGGGCACAAGGAGAAGGGGACGACAGAGGACAAGATGGTTGGACAGTGTTCTCGAAGCTACCAGCATGAGTTTGACCAAACGGCGGGAGGCAGTGGAAGACAGGAGTGCCTAGCGTGCTCTGGTCCATGGGGTCACGAAGAGTCGGGCACGACTAGCATTGGTATAAAGTGTTATGAAAACATGTTTTGGGGGGAACACTCAGAGAAGAGTTGCAATCAATGCCAAAGACTGAAAGGTCACTCAGAATTTTAAACTCACCCTCACATAGAACCCTCAAATGTCAAGATATCAGATATCTAACTGGAAATTCTACATGTGAAAATTTAAATTTCCATACACTGCTCTTTCCTTCCGGCATTCTATTCCCTGCCCCCAATCACATTAGAATCTCATGTAGGATCTTCATGTGATTTAGAGCTCCCTTCTGCCGTCAGCGCCAATAATGGGGTACGCTAGAGGGGGCAAAGCTTGTGCACATATCTCTGCTCTCCCTCGTGTGGTTCTAAGCGTGCGGGAGAAGTGAACAGCACAAGAGAGCCTTAGTCTTCCCTCCACATTTGTATTTGATGAGTCTGAACCAGCTTCAGAGCAAGCAACGGCCCACTTCAGAACTTCCTTTCAATGCAGAGCCAGTAGCTCCAGCTATTCTTGCTTGCTTCCCTGTCCTCTCATTCACCAGATTGCAGTAGGAAGTAGTATTCACCTGTTTGTCCTACTGCAGACAGGAGAAGGGAGCCAAGCGAAAGGAGGGCAGCTACATCAATGGGTAGTAGCCAGGAAAGTTAGTCCCAGTTGGGGTCTCCATGTACACAGTTAGTCTGGGCCATTAACCAAGAGTTGGGCCATCAAGAAAGACAGAGAGGGGGCTCTGTGCCAGACAGCTCTTGGGAGGACCCCTTCCCCAGCTCTGATATAGTTGGAAGACAAAATCAGAGTTTTGAAGTAACATTTAGGGATGTGACAGGCTGTAAAAGGCACGAAGATGGAAAGAGCATGAGAGCACAATGTTTGATTCCTGTTTTGAATGCCAGACTGTGGCTATGGGAGAAACAAGACTCTCTTGGGGTGTCTGCGCTGTGAACCCCTCCATCGTAGACTCAGATTGTATATATGTGGGAATAAACCATATATCCTAAAGACACCACAGTCTCTGCTGTCTCTCATTTCCCAAAAGGAAATATGAACCCTGGAGATGCAGTTTGGGACCCCAGCAATCTTGTGCTGTGGGGAGATTGAAGTCCAAAACCCTCCCATATCTCATCTGCAAAAATTGTTTAAAAATCTGCCAAACCTGGAAATGTACCTTTCTTTCCTTGAAGTCCAGAGAATACAGCATCTGAGGGGAAAAGTGAAATGAGGAAAAAGTCAATACTCGTATTTGGCTCCAAGGGCATTGCTTCAGATTTAAAATGTTTGCAAATGTGTTCAGGCCTAAATCTAAAATTTAGCCACAGTACTCCATCTTCCTCCCTCTTCCAGCATTAGCATTAAGTGTTATGAAAGCATGTTTGGCGTGGGGGGCACAGAGAAGAGTTGCCTCCGCCAGCTCTGAGAGAGTTCGAAGACAAAACCAGTATTTTGGAGCAGAGTTTAGGGATGTGACAGGCTGTAAAAGGCAGCAAGTCAGAATGAGAATCAGAGCATGATGGTTGATTCCTGTTTTGGATCCAAGGCTGGGGCTATGGGAGAAACAAGACTCTCTTGGGGTGCCTGTGAACCCCTCCATCGTAGGCTCAGATTGCATATATGTGTAAATAAACCATATATCCTAAAGACACCACAGTCTCTGCTGTGCCTCATTTTCCAAAAGGAAATACGAACCCAGGGGAGGCAGCTTGGGAATCCAGAAACCTTGTGCTGCTTGGGGTACAGCTGTCTCTTTCTTTTCTTGAGGCCCAGAGAGCACAACGTCTAAGGGGGGAAAGCGAAATGAGGAAAAAGTCAATACTCAAACATGGCTCCAAGGGCAATGCTTTAGATTTAGAGAGCTTGGAAGTGTGTTCATGCCAAAATCTAAAATTTAAATATAGTACTTTCAAGGGACGCGGGTGGCGCTGTGGGTTAAACCACAGAGCCTAGGACTTGCTGATCAGAAGGTTGGCGGTTTGAATCCCCGCGAAGGGGTGAGCTCCCATTGCTCTGTCCCTGCTCCTGCCAAGCTAGCAGTTCGAAAGCACGTCAAAGTGCAAGTAGATAAATAGGTACCACTTCGGCGGGAAGGTAAAAGGCATTTCCGTGTGCTGCTCTGGTTCACCAGAAGCGGCTTAGTCATGCTAGCCACATGACCCAGAAGCTGTACGCCGGCTCCCTTGGCCAAAAAAGCGAGATGAGCGCTGCAACCCCAGAGTCAGTCATGACTGGACCTAATGGTCAGGGGTCCCTTTACCTTTTACTTCCTCTTCCACCCTCTTCCGGCATTAGCATTAAGTGTTATGCTAGCATTTTGGGGGGTGGGGCACTCAGAGAAGAGTTGCAATCAATGCCAAAGACTGAAAGGTCACTCAGAATTTTAAAATGACCCTCATACAGAACCCTCAAATGTCAAGATATCAGATATCTAACAGGAAATTATACATGTGAAAATTTAAATTTCCATACACTGCTCTTTCCTTCCAGCATTCTATACCCTGCCCCCAATCACATTAAAATCTCATGTAGGATCCTCATGTGATTTAGAGCTTCCTTCTGCAGACAGCACCAATAATGGGGTACACTAATGGCCCCCTCCCCCGGCTCTGAGAGAGTTAACCAGAGACAGAACCAGAGTTTTGAAGTAGAGGTTAGGGATGTGACAGGCTGTAAAAGGCAGCAGGCCAGAAAAAGAAGAAGAGGAGTTTGGATTTGATATCCCGCTGTATCACTACCCAAAGAAGTCTCAAAGCGGCTAACATTCTCCTTTCCCTTCCTCCCCCACAACAAACACTCTGTGAGGTGAGTGGGGCTGAGAGACTTCAGAGAAGTGTGACTGGCCCAAGGTCACCCAGCAGCTGCATGTGGAGGAGCGGGGAAGCGAACCCACCGCTCTTAACCACTACACCACACTGGCTCAGAGCACAAGGGCTGATTCCTGCTTTGAATGCAAGGCTGGGGCTATGGGAGAAACATGACTCTCTTGGGGTGTCCGTGTTGTGAACCCCTCCATCGTAGGCTCAGATTCTATATATGTGTGAATAAACCATATATCCTAAAGACACCACAGTCTCTGCCGTCTCTCATTTCCCGAAAGGAAATATGAACCCAGGGGATGCAGCTTGGGACCCCAGCAATCTTGTGCTACTGGGAGATTGAAGTGCAAAACCCTCCCATATCTCATCTGCAAAAATTGTTTAAAGATCTGCCAAACCTGGAAATGTACCTTTTTCGTCCTGAGGTCCAGAGAGCACAATGTCTGAGGAAAAAAAAGGGAAATGAGGAAAAAGTCAATATTCATACTTGGCTCCAAGGGCATTGCTTTAGATTTAGAATGTTTGCAAGAGTGTTCGTGTCTAAATCTAAAATTTAGCCATAGTTCTCCATCTTTCTCCCTCTTCCAGCATTAGCATTAAGTGTTATGAAAGCATGTTCAGGGTGGGGGGCACAGAGAAGAGTTGCCTCCCCCAGCTCTGAGAGAGTTAGAAGACAAAACCAGAGTTCTGGAGTAGAGTTTAGGGATGTGACAGGCTGCAAAAGGCAGCAAGTCAGAATGAGAACCAGAGCACGATGGTGGGTTTCTGTTTTGAATGCAAGGCTGTGGACTATGGGAGAAACAAGACTCTCTTGGGGTGTCTGTGAACCCCTCCATTGTAGGCTCAGAGTGCCTATATGTGTAAATAAACCATATATCCTAAAGACACCACAGTCTCTGCTGTGCCTCATTTGCCAATAGGAAACTCGAACCCTGGGGAAGCAGCCTGGGACCCCAGAATATTCACCGTTTGGAAATGGGAATGGCATGCAACAATATCTATCATCTATCACCATCTATCTCACATATAAAACATCATACAATGATCTCTGTTACCTTTAAATTTCTTGGTCTCCTTCTCCAAAAAAGGATGCATTTTAGAGAATTTATCTATTTGCTGTTTTGATCCAGGAGGGAAAGCTATTGCATTCATGGTTTTATTTTCATTTTCATTACACCTAGGAAGAAGCAAGTGAGGTTTATTGTGATCCATCTGGTCATTCTCAAGTCATTCTTAATTCAGTTGTCAGAATGAAGGAGAAAAGTGGGAGCAGCAGGAAGATACCAAGGGCTCGTCCATGATAGGTTTTTCTTTCATTCCCCCCATTTCCCCACAAAAGTCCCCGCTGTTTACCACTGAATCGGAACAAAGGTCAATCGGGTTTTCTGTGGGTTGACAGCGAAATAGAACCAAACATTTATCGGGTTTTCTGCGGATTTATGTTTCTTCCATTTCAGTGGTAAGCAGCAGGTTTTCCCATGAAAAGCGGTGGGACAAAATAAAAGCCTCTTTCTAGAAATCACAGGAAAAGCTGAAGTATGTCATGAGCCCTGTGACAGCAGCGAATGGTATTGTCTGCCATGTACCCATTACAAAGACCTATGACAAACTGGGAAGTGAAGTATAATGCGGGAGGGGGGGAGTGTAAATTTACATAAACATTTTTCATATAAAATTTATATATAAAAGATCAATCCATAATCTATCTTACCTCTCTTTTATTTTTTTAAAAAATAAACTTTACCGTTAAGATGCAGAAATACTTTAAACTATCTGCCTGAAATTTTGACACACGTTGCATACCGTACCATGTTTAAAATTACAGCTAGGTTAGAAGTGCCTGATTAACTTGTGACAAAGTTGTGCTTCTACCTGGTCAGAACAGGGTATAATTCGGCCCAATTTAGTTGAGGATCCGGGTGAATCTGGAGCACAACCTTACTGAATATTTTCTCCAACAAATTATGTTTGCAGATAATGCACACAAGTAACTAATAAGAGCCTCTCTTTACCCTGGCCTTTGTTATCGAGGAGATTTATTTTAGGACCCGCCCAGTTGTCTTGGATTGTAATTTGTTTTAACTATTTTTAATATTGTATTTTAATTCACAAGCTGCCCTGGAACCAGACAGTGGAGGGCAAGTAAGAAATCTAATAATCCACCACCACCAACATTTCTGCTATGATATGAAGTATACAGTAGATGGAAAAATATCATCACTCCTTCCTAAAATATGCATTTTATATGCATAACACACACCCCCCCAAAAAAAAATTCTATTCATTTTTGTATGCTGTTCTAGGTATCCCCCAATACGCTTTTTGAACATTTCCCTGCACGAGATACCAGTTTGGATAAAAAACGCATCACAACATTTGTATAAGTGTGCAATCAGATTGGTAATTGTTTTCTGATCTGCTTATTGGTCTGTGAATTAGATTGGTTCACATAGACCAAATCAATTTATCCCTTACCTCAGAGGAAGGAAATCAGTACCAACCCACTATTCATAACAAAGCCACATACCTTTCCAGGATGCTTCTCATATTCTAGATGGAAGATACAGAATGAGAGAAGTTCAGTCTTTTTTAAAAAAATAAATCATTTTTATTGATTTTCCAATAAAAAACATCCAGTTAATATATCCAATCATAATACTCCAATTAAAATAAAAGAACTAAAATAAAAAAGACCAAATTATAGTCCAAATTATAATTATTAATTTCTCAGGGGTCCCCACGGTCTGAGGAAATTCAGTCCTTTGCACCACATATCAGTTCACATCAGTATCTTTCTATGTATAACACAATGTTTTCTGCAGAGACAACACGCTAGTCCAGGGACCACGGGCCCCACTGGGCAAGGCAGGCATGAGAAGCTGCTCTCAGCCCTTGCCATGTTAGAGCCTTAAGGGGGAGCAGGCTGGAGTGGGGGCCTCACCTGTCCTCCGCAGGCTTTCTCTTCCACATTTCTTCTTGCCTCCTTTAAATGCTACAGATTTCCATTTGCTTGTAAGTTACAAGGTCATGTGTTGGTTTTGGCAACCCTGGTTTAAAACATTGATTTCTTTTGCCCTGAAGTTCTTCGTGCTCTGCCCAGTGCAACACAGGGTCCAGATTCAATTCTACTTTGTCAAAAATTAAGCTCCACCAGCACAAATGGTCCATATTATGGCTCTAACTTTGTTTCTGTTTGACAGAAGTGGATGAAATTTGCAAGCCTCTTTGTTCCTCCAGAGTAGCTTAAACCTTGCAAATTACAGGCAAATAAATGCAGGGGGCGTCCCATTGGGCAGCTTTGGCTCCCTTTCTCTCTTTTTAAGGAAACTTCTATAACCTTTAATAAAAAATGGATGAAATTAGTGCCCATGGTTGCTCCTTCAGAGGGAATGAGTGATAACTGCAACAGTTCTCCCACAAAGGTAGACTTTACAGTTCTGGAGTAGGGGAAAAAGGAATCGCTTAACTTCCCTTAGTGTTTTATGGACAATCAGTCTGAAAATAGGAAAACATGAGAGACAAGTGTAACTGCAGTAAAAGAAGGAAGGAAGGAAGGAAGGAAGGAAGGAAGGAAGGAAGGGGACAAATAGTTCTAGGGGGTTGGTGTTATGAGTCTTTAAAGTTGATTTTGGGAAAATGAAAAATAAAAGGGATTCCATTTTCTCCCTAGGATTGAGCTGTGCACACACAGACAGGTATTTTTGATTTGACAATTAGACTGACTTTAGGTACCTGTTCGCAGGTAGAAGGGATGCCAGGACAGGGTCTTGACACTGACAGATGTAAGAAGACACCAACAAGATGCAACTTGAAGGGACATTAAATGGACTCCTTGTTTTCGTCAAGCTTTCTTTGACCAAGCCAGTTCCCTGCAGCAGTTTATTACTTTCCCCTTTGCTTTATATATATCTACCAAATATTGAAGCGCACACTCCTACTGTAAATACTTATATAGACCAGTGAACAGAGTGTGTTGTGGTACAGCCCTTCCCCAGAGGACAACCTGGACGGTTTTGTTCCACCATTGCTCACCTGCAAGAATTCAGTCACTGGCTGCTTCTGTTTCTCCTCCAGCTGCTTGATTAGGTTGTTAAGGGAGGCAATTTCCTCACAGAGTCTGGCAATATATTGATTCCTACAGTTTTTAATCCCATCGTCCAGTTCCTTTAATTGAGTCAGCAGGAGGCACTCTTGTTCTTCCAGAAACTGGTGCAATTGCTGGAAATCAGCCATGATTTTCTGCCTCTCCGTGGCTATCTGCTTCTGCAAGGAGAGAGTCAAGACCAGACAAAAACATTTAGATGTCCCCTTAATTCCATGTGCACATGCTGACTGGCAGGGCAGCTGATGTTTACAGTCACAATGGTACAGAAGTTCAGTCACAGCTGAGGGCGGCAGGCAGGCTAGCTTTGCAAGACATGGCCACTTTGCTTGGCTCTGTCCGCAATATTTTCCTGCTGCTCACCTACCGATCTATTAAGCTGCTGCTGTTCTCTATTCCCTGGCATCTTCATCCTGCCTTGGCCACCTCACTCTGCCTAATAGTAGGGCTGTGAGGAAGTGACAAGAAGAAGGAGGACTAGCTTTGTGGGATCACTTCGTTCTTTAAAATACCAGGTGCACAGCCTGGGAGTCATTTTGTGTCCCGGGCAGCTGTCTACCAACTCCATCTGGTACACAGGCTGAGACCCTACCTGCCCGCGGACTGTCTTGCCAGAGTGGTGCATGCTCTGGTTATCTCCCGCTTGGACTACTGCAATGCGCTCTACGTGGGGCTACCTTTCAAGGTGACCTGGAAACTGCTACTAATCCAGAATGCGGCAGATAGACTGGTGACTGGGAGTGGCCGCCGGGACCATATAACTGTTTTTAACACTGATTGGGAGCCGCCCAGAGTGGCTGGGGAAACTCAGCCAGATGGGCGGGGTATAAATAATAAATTATATTATTATTATTATTATTATTATTATTATTATTATTATTATTACACTGGTCTTGAAAGACCTACGTTGGCTCCCAGTACATTTCTTAGCACAAATCAAAGTTTTGGTGCTGACCTTTAAAGCCCTGAATGGCCTCGGCCCAGTATACCTGAAGGAGCGTCTGCACCCCCATCATCCAGCCCGGACACTGAGGTCCAGCTCCAAGGGCCTTCTGGCGGTTCCCCCGCTGCAAGAAGCCAAGTTACAGGGAACCAGGCAGAGGGCCTTCTCGGTAGCGGCGCCCGCCCTGTGGAACACCCTCCCATCAGATGTCAAGGAAATAAACAACTATCTGACTTTTAGAAGACATCTGAAGGCAGCTCTGTTTAAGGAAGTTTTTAATGTTTGATGTTTTATCGCTTTATTATTATTATTATTAATTCTGTTGGGAGCCGCCCAGAATGGCTGGGGAAACCCAGCCAGATGGGTGGAGTATAAATATGATGATGATGATGATGATGCTGGCATGGCAATAATAATAATAATAATAATAATAATAATAATAATAATAATAATAATAATTTATTATTTATACCCCAGCCCAAATGGCTGGCATTTTTGGACTCAAGGATTACATTCGCCCCTAGACAACCCTACCAATTTTAGCCAATCCTGCTGAATGTTGTCTAGCCTTGCAGGCAGCTGCTCTTCAAGGTCTGAAGCAGAGACCTTTCCTAACTCTACCACCCAATATCCATTTAATTGATAATGCCAGTGATCAAATCTGGGACACTGTGCAAGTGAAGCATAGGCTCCACCGCAGAACGCAGGCCTCACTCTGTCAATATAACCATCCTGGAGAGGCAAGAAGGTTTGCACCTACCAGCAGATTCTGGCTTTCAGTCTCCACCGTCAGTTTAGAAGACAGAATTTCTCCTTTCTGTTTGTTCAGGAACTCCAAATGACGCAGAATTTTACCCTGGGGTGGCCAAAAAGGCATTTGGGTTAGTTTTGGCAGCAAAGATATAATCATAAAATCGTAGCAGCCTCATAAAACTTTCTGCACCAAACCATGATCTTTTCCAAAGTTAAATTGGGGTGCAAACCAAAGCTTGTGGCTGGTGAACAGCCCTATTCAGAGCTCGTTCTTCTTTCTTTTCTTTTTTAAAAAACCCCTTCAAGTAGTCACCAAGATGTTGTTACTGTAAGTGCCACACTTTTAACATTTGGGGTGGAAAGGTGCTGGTACTGCGTATCACTGAGTACTTATGCAAAGTTTATTGCAAATGGCATACTTTTCATTTCGTCACATGGATGGCAAATCTAAACAGGTGTTAAATCACTCTGGCCAGATGAAAAAAAAAATCAGGAAGCAGAAATACATGTCAGAAACATTGTCAAGTACATTACATATTATTGGTAATGAAGGTTGCCTGTCAACTTTTAAGTTCAAAAAATATGAACAGGAACATAACACCAGGTATACATGTTGTGTCCAAAATATATTTATACCTGATTTAGACCAACTGACATTAACTGAGATTTTACAATGTATTCATCTCAATTGGAAAAACAAAACTTGCCTGCACTAATGTGAAGGGTGAAACTGAGATCTGGACATAGGCTAGGTCTGGTTCAAAGGCAGTGGTTTTGATCTGCAAAATGCCACACAGGTGAGAGTCACTTAGTCTTGTCCTCACGCTGTTCTTGTTAAAGTTCATAGCAGAGAATGTCTTCTCACACAAATATGTTGAGCCAAATAAGCTCAGCATTTTCTGCATGGATAGGATTGCACCTAATACTTTCCTGATGGCACAACGAAACCAGATGTTGTCTGTGTTAGAATATCCACAGGCACCATGTGCTGGTACCTATTGCACCCAACAGCTAAGGTAAAGGTAAAGGGAACCCTGACCATTAGGTCCAGTCATGACCGACTCTGGGGTTGTGGCACTCATCTGGCTTTATTGGCCGAGGGAGCCGGCATACAGCTTCCGGGTCATGTGGCCAGAAGGTGAAATTTTCGAGTGTTGCTCTGTCCCCTTTTGCCTCGGGTTCCAATAAGCGGTAGCGTTTGGGACACAAATACCCACCCACATGCCCCACCTGAATGTCGCCTAGAGAAAAATGCAGCCCTCAGGCTGAAATATTTCCCCCATCCCTAGGATAAGTCAGCATCCCTTGAAAGCTTGGTCCCCAATCCTACAGCTCCGTTACCTGATACTCCTCAAAGGCCTCCTCCTTTGGGATCACTTTGTGCTTCCTGTGCTCCTTGGATTTGTCGCACACCACACAGATGGGGTCTTGGTCGTCTTTGCAGAAGAGCTTCAGGGGCTCCTGGTGTCTCTCGCAAACTTTTCCCAGCGCTTCCGCCCCTTTTGCCATCTGAAGGCTGAATTTCTTGGCTATTTCCACAATGCTCGCCAGTTGCCGGTTGGGCCTGACATTCCTTTGCTGACGAGGTTCCCTGCACTGAGGGCAAGAAGCCTCTTGGTCCGAGTTCCCCCAAGCCTCGGTGATGCAGCTTTGGCAGAAATTGTGGCCGCATTCTATGGTCACTGGATCTGTGAAATACTCCAAGCAGATGCAGCATGTTGTTTCCTCACAGAGGTTCTGGACTGGACTCTCATCTGCCATTTCGTCTGCCTGAAATGAGAATAAAAGCCTTAGTTTCATTTTTCCAGTTTCAAACCACAGGGCGGGCCTTTCCCTCCCTCTGGGTGACTCATAGTTTTTGAAAAGAAACAGCATAAGCCGGGGGAAACCGTTACGGTGTGCAGCTTCACATCTGTACCGTGAATTCAAAGTGCATGGTGTCTGCCAAAGAATTTTGACAATGGCCGTTTACCCCAAAAAGCTACACTTCCCAGCACCCTTAACTAACTACAGTCCCCAGGAAAATTTATGGGAGAGACATGTGGCCATCATGATGCTAGTAAAAGGGCTAATACTAACTGACAGGAGCAGGAAGAAAAAGGAAGAACAGTGGAACCTCGACTTACAAACGCCTTAGGTTATAAACGCTTCAGGCTACAAACTCCACTAACCTGGAAGAATTACGGTACTTTGAGTTGAGAACAGAAAATGTGTGCCGTCGGTGCAGTGGCAGCAAGAGGCCCCATTAGAGAAAGCATCCCTCTAGTTAAGAACAGTTTCAGGTTAAGAACGGACCTCCGGAACAAATTAAGTTTGTAACTAGAAGTACCACTGTAAAGCCTAAGAAAAACAATTGTTTACTTGAGAAGCAATCAGTGAGGGAAGAATTGGTTTCCTGTCTCCCACCTCCAGTTCTCAAACAGTATCTAATTGCAAACACTGTTGGTCCAGTCCCAAATGTTAACAGGATTTGGGGACAACTAACTTTGACTTTTGAATTCACCCCCGCCCCTTATGCAGCTTAGTTTCCTTCCTCACCCAGCCACCCACCTTCCTCCAAACCCCACCCCACCCACCCACAACATCACCTAAGTGAAAAGTCACCTGGGACTGTTTCATGCAACTGTTCTATAGCTCTCGGGAGGGGGGGGGGGATAATTCATTGTTATTTTCTTCATCAGCTTTTGTGGGAAGCACTGTTTCCATTATGTTTGTACCATAACGCCACCTGCTTTTATATGGGTTCAAATTCTATATACCCTTCTCTGAGTGCATAACTCCACGAACCCTTTCATAGGGGAAAACAATTGGAGAGAAAAACATGGGATAGGGTTCAGCTGGCCTATGAAATTTCAAGTTTTCCTTGAAATCTTGCCCCTCCAATCTGTTTTATAGGGATTTGGTGCCACCCACCTTCTTAGGAACTGCCCTGAGACCCCCGGGTATAGGGTGGTATAATAATAATAATAATAATAATAATAATAATAATAATAATAATATTGCTTCTTCCAATCACATTCAGTTGTGTCTCGCTAATCTGGGAGATCCTCTTGTGACAGAATGGGGCATTGTTGAAAGAGTGAAGGGATATCTTGTGCCAGCATTGAAAAGATTGTTGATATTTGTTCATAATTTAGAGAGACACAGACACCCTCTAGCTGAAGCTTCCGCAATTGCACTGGGGGCCGGAGTGACTGACGGTTGTATCTTTCCTTTTTTACTTTACAAGGTTGTTCTTCACCAGATCTTCAGCTAATTACAGTATTTGTAAGAATGGATTCCAAATATCATTGAATTTGTCCATGGCAAGTCTGCAGTTATATGATGTTGCGAGTTTGTATGAGTCTTCAAATCCAATTGTAGAAGGGAGCTGCATTTTTATATTTGTATCTTTGCTGAACCAAGGAAATGGCCCCAGAAATAATTGTCACCCTGTTTGGGAAGGTTTGGGGGGGGGAGGAATTAGAGAGGAACCCCCTACAGCCAGGTCAACTCCCCAATAAGGCTGCATTGCTCCAGTATATTTGCATCACAAATGGAATGATTCCTTTATTCTCCAATGATAAACATTTACTGTTTTATTCATGTTCGGATGTTACCGACATAATAGTGAAAGGAAACGCCATTCTTAATACAGAACTGCAAAAAGAAAAAAACACAAAATACACAAAACAGAAGCATTGCTGAATATCTGATTTCTCCTTCAGTGGAAACAACTGCAGACTTTTTCATATACAGAACTCTGGAAACTCCACTGAGTATTAATGAAGGACAGGAACAATGAAACTGAAACCTTTTTTCCGTGAACCTCAAATTTGTAAGCGGCCTCGTCTCTGTTCCTGCCGACAATGAATAAGGTTGCACCACTTCTTGTACCCCACTATTCCAAACTAAAATGAAAAGGTTCGCTTTTTTCCAATGAAAGGGCAATTTGCCAGTCTTTACCCTCCTTCAGACTTACCTTATTGGGAAGTTTAGTCTTGTATGCCATGTCCCAAATTGAATCAGGGCTTCATTTGGGTTTTTTGTTAATCATTGAGCCCTTACCAACAACAGACTCGCACAAACTACACATCAGGGTAGCAGAGCCGTACTGCTGTTGACATCCCATCAGCCCCAGAGAGAGCAAGAAGGGGAACAATGTGGTTCCCCAAAACAACAGGAGGCCATGATCCAGATTTTCCCCAAGACAGACAACTTGCAGGGGGGCAAGAGGAGAGAGAAGGAAGAAATTGGTGGCTGCACATGGCGGCAGTGACACAGCATGTCAGAATCCGTCTGTTACAAACTCCCTGTAAAGTGGGGAGGGGGACTTAGAGTGCTGAACCCTTTCCCCATCACACATACAACCTTCCCTGCCAAAGGCACTTTTGCCAGACATTTCTTGCCCATGTAAGAAACCTACACTGGGCGGGTAAACAGCTGGGAGGTTTTTTTGGGTGGGAGGGAGAGGGAAGTCCTTCCTTCCTTCCTTCCTTCCTTCCTTCCTTCCTTCCTTCCTTCCTTCCTTCCTCCCTCCCTCCCTCCCTTGCTTTAAAGGATTTGGCCCAACCAAGTGAGTTTTGCCATTGTCAGATGGATCTTGATTTCACCCAAAGACAGCCTCACCTCATTGCCCCACACTGAACCAGGAGCAGACCCCCTCCCCAGAAAACGCAGCATTGGTGAAAGTGAAGATGACGCTGTGAGAGTCGGCGTCAGAAAACATCACCCATCTTTTTTTATAGTTCACACACACACAGATCCTCTTGGACTGGAACTTCAACAACTTACAGGCTGTATTGCTAGACACGGGCAATGGACCCAGGGATATTCCAGGAGCCGTGGTTGGGTAATAATCACCAGCGGAAGTCCGGACGATAGCCCAGATCCCAAGACCAGCGTTCAAATTGACAATATTGCATCCCCTTAAAGTCTCGTTGGCCACCCCCACGGCCCAGAACTTTTCACCCCCCAAGTTGGCTATCCAGGAATGGGTCCCAGAGGTGATTCTCTCAACTCCCATAACATAGGAACAACAAAGCAATTCGTTGGGACCTCTGTAAGAACCCCAGGGCAAGGTGGAATATGATGATAGTACTAATTTGGGCATGTCTTCACCTGCAAAAGAAAGGAAAGGATTAGGGAGGCAAACCCCCAAAGGAGTTTGCATCTACTCAGCGGTCAGCAAACTTTTTCAGCAGGGGGCCGGTCCACTGTCCCTCAGACCTTGTGGGGGGCTGGACTATATTTTGGGGGGGAAATGAATGAATTCCTATGCCCCACAAATAACCCAGAGATGCATTTTAAATAAAAGCACACATTCTACTCATGTAAAAACACCAGGGAGGCCCCACAAATAACCCAGAGATGCATTTTAAATCAAAGGACACATTCTACTCATGTAAAAATACGCTGATTCACGGACCATCCGTGGGCCAGATTTAGAAGGCGATTGTGCTGGATTCGGCCCCCAGGCCTTAGTTTGCCTACCCATGACCTACATCCAAGTTTTATGCAGCTCTGAGCTGGGAGGCGGCTTGAGAAGCCAATGTACTCCTGGGAAAGTATCCCCCCCCAAAAAAATAAATAAATTCAGAAGCAGAGGGAGAACCACTTGCATTGGGCATTTGGTTTCACAGAATTATAGAGGTGGGAGTGACCCCAACAGACATCTAGTCCAACCCCCTGCAATGCAGGTTTGTATGCAAACAGCATGGATAGCTCAGCTGGTTAGAGCGTGGTGCTGATAATGCCAAGGTTGCAGGTTTGATCCCTGGATAGGCCAGCTGCATCTTCCTGCATCGCAGGGGGTTGGAATTGATGATCCTCAAAGTCCCTTCCAACTCTACAATTCTATGATTCTACTATCTCTGGGACGCGGGTGGCACTGTGGGTTAAACCACAGAGCCTAGGACTTGCCTATCAGAAGGTCGGCGGTTCGAATCCCCGCAACGGGGTGAGCTCCCATTACTCGGTCCCTGTTCCTGCCAACCTAGCAGTTCGAAAGCACGTCAAAGTGCAAGTAGATAAATAGGTACCACTCCGGTGGGAAGGTAAATGGCGTTTCCATGCACTGCTCTGCTTCGCCAGAAGCGGCTTAGTCATGCTGGCCACATGACCCGGAAGCTGTATGCCGGCTCCCTCGGCCAATAAAGCGAGATGAGCGCCGCAACCCCAGAGTCGGCCACGACTGGACCTAATGGTCAGAGGTCCCTTTACCTTTACCTTTTCTATCTCTAGGTAGGGCAAGGAAAGGACCCCTGTATAAATCCCTGGAGAGCTGGTGCCAGTCACTAAGCTAGATGGGTGAAATGACTGTATAAAGGCAGCTCTTGACTTCCTGTCATTAGGCGTCACAGATTATCTGCTCGAGACATCAGTCTGTGCACATGCACGGATGGAATGGTGAGGGAAGCATGAAAGACACGCAGAGACAGATTTTTGTTTCCTGACACCAAAACACAGCTGAAAGTTTTCTCTTCAGTGCAAAAACCCTCCCATATGGGCCTCGGTCCAGTATACCTGAAGGAGCGTCTCTACCCCCATTGTTCTGCCCGGACACTGAGGTCCAGCGCCAAGGGCCTTCTGGCAGTTCCCTCACTGCGAGAAGTGAGGTTACAGGGAACCAGGCAGAGTGCTTTCTCGGTAGTGGCACCCGCCCTGTGAAACGCCCTCCCACCAGATGTCAAAGAGAAAAACAACTACCAGATTTTTAGAAGACATCTGAAGGCAGCCCTGTTTAGGGAAGCTTTTAATGTTGAATAGGTTATTGTATTTTAATATTCCATTGGAAGCCGCCCAGAGTGGCTGGAGAAACCCAGCAGGGTGGGCGGGGTATAAATAAATAAATAAATTATTTATTTATTTATTTATTTATTTATTTATTTATTTATTTATTTATTTTATTTTATTTTATTTTTTATTTTTTATTTTTTATTTATTAATTATTATTATTATTATTATCTCAGCTGCAAAAATTGTTTAAAGATCTGCCAAACCTGGAAATGTACGTTTCTTTTCTTGCGGCCCAGAGAGCACAATGTCTAAGGAAGAAAAGCGTTATGAGAAACGAGTTACTGCTAATACTTGACTCCAATACTTGACAGTGCCTGAAACT